CCTGCATGTGGCAGTGGGAGTCTGGAGATCTTTAAGGATCCTCCCAATGCAAACCAATCCCATGGTCCTATGATTCTATGATTTTCCTTTTGAAATCAACAAATTCACTCAGACTACATTGTTTCATGTGAATGTGCTGGGGTTTGTTTTTCCTTTTGCTTTGAAATAGGTCTTTTTTTGTTTTTTTTGCATTTTTTTTTCTCATAGAATTGCATTTTTAAACATTCAAAAAGTCATTTCTTCAATACCAAAGGTGTTTTTTTTTTTTTTTTTCAATTAGGTCTTTTTTTGTTTTTTTTGCATTTTTTTTTCTCATAGAATTGCATTTTTAAACATTCAAAAAGTCATTTCTTCAATACCAAAGGATGCAAGAGGTTCACACAAGGCACAGGGAACAACTTGCTAGTTAAAAGTTTGTAGTTAACTTTGCAATCTGGGACCCAGACAGAAGCAAGTAGAAAAAAAAAAAAAAATTAAAACAAGATGTGAGATAGGAATCTTTAATCAACCTCGTTGTATCAGCCGAGGCCCAACATTCCACCCTGTCTTCTGAGGTTACCCAGCACCACTTTGAAAATGGATTATTTTCCACTGAAAACAATGCCAAAAAGGGGCTTTAGCTCCCCTGGGGGAAATTAGAACAGCCTGGATCATCAAATGGGAAAAAATAATCATTATCAGTAGCAGTCTGAAACAGGGGGGAAAAAAAGGTGAAACTAGACTCAGGTTTTAGACCACTTTATGCCTTAGAAGTGGCTTTGAAGATGGTGGATTGGCAAAAACCTATGGGTTTGTGATGCAAAGGAATGTTTGCTTCTCTAGATAGAAACTGCTGTGTTTTTTCCCAGATGTTTAGTTCAGAAATGTACTTTTTGTAAACAGTCAATAGCTAGCCAAGGAGAACTTAAATGATGATACACTAAAAGTATTGTACACTTCCTCTTACTAGGTCATAGGAATTACCAACACATATGAAAGTTTTTGAACTACATACATATATATATGTAAAATATATATCTATAACTTMATACATGCCTACAGATGAAAAATACATTATATGGACTTAATAAGGCCTAATAAATTCATGTCTTTAACCTGATGCCCCTTCTTTTGGGTAAGAGAAATTTTCCAAGAGCCATCACCATTTACCTGCCAGTGACCCACCACAGAACTCCAGTGCCAGCTGCCACCATAAAAAAATGCCTCAACTCCATTTACAACCAGCCTAAATATATTTGCAATACAAAACAAAAACTTAATTCCAGCTGGAGAAGCAGTAACACATGGGAGGCAGAAACACAAAAAAAAGTGGTGAAATAATTTCCAAGGCACTGTGAAGTTGAAATACATGTGCAGCAGCATGTGGCCAGTTACAGCATCATCCTTGACAGGTTAGTTAAAAAAAAAAAAAAAAGATAAAAATAAAGGCTTACTTCTGAAAGCACTGATAACTAACATTCAATTGAATCCTAGTTTTGTCTTTTAAAAACCAAGCTCTCCTRCACAAATGTCCCATGCTAGCACCAAATGCTAGAAGAAAACTTGGTTGACATATTGATATTTCCTATTTATGTAACTTGCAACTTATATAAGATGGTTACAGCCTTGGCCCTGCTAGAGCCCTTGTTTGCATGCCTACAGCAGCTCACTGCTGACCTCAGTTATGTATTAAAGCTATCTGGAGGCCAAGAGCATGTAACCATACACCCATAATCGAGTACATACTCCAATGCTTTGTCAAACAGGGAACCACTGATGAATTGCTGCCCATATAACTAATGATGAAATAGCAGTAATGTACATTTACATTGGGATTATGCTGCCAATGTTTTATACCAGGGATGTATCAGCCACTGATGATTGGAAAACAGTCTCCAGCCAGCCTGTGAAAGCCCACTGCCACACACTAGTGTGGTCACTTAAGCTTGAATGCATCTTKCAAAGTACCAGTTCTGGTCCTAAGAGCCTGGGATGTTCCAATAGTGCTCTTATCTCCAAATAATATTATTAAAGAATGGTACTGCTACCATCAAACATCCAAYCTGGTGCTTATATAATACCAATCTGCAACAGAAAGTTCTTTCTGCGCCCTAGCAAACGAATCATCCAAGATTAATTTTCTTCCTGCTTTTCAGCTCTTCATCCTGGCACGATTGGTGCCTCTGAACGGCAACAGCGGAGTCACACAGCTGGAATTCTAACCACCTCCCTAATAACTTTATTCAGTAATAGATAATGACACTAAAATTATCAACAACCTCTGGTAATCCATCAATATAAGCATACATCAATGCTCAGAGGGGTAAAATTGCAGCAGAATTAGCAATAGTAAGGAATACAATGGAAACAATATAGAGAGGCTTTTCAGTAAATTTATATAGCCTTTATAGATATTTTATATTTATGAAAGCTTATAGTCCTTCTTTTGCACTAATTTAAACTGTTATTTCCTATCTCTTTCMCCCATCTCTTTACAGAAGTATTGCTGGATGAATAAAGTGATCTTGGAGCTGGGTACCAAAATCCCAGCTGTTGCAATGCTGAGCATCCACAGCCTGAGGTCCTCAGCTGAACCTGTRCGCTGCAGTGGAGCAGCACATGCAACAATCCACTGCTCAAAGTGAGCAAGGGGAACAGAGCCAGCAGCCCCTTGCAAACAGGGCAGAACAACAGAGAAGAGGCGAAACAYGTACAGAATTTGATAAAAACAATTAAAAATATCTGTGGAACACATTCAACAACCTCCATTGCTAAGTATCTTAAACCCAGTCAGAGCTTTTGAGAAGGCAAGAAACCATGCCTCACAGCTGTGGCAGCTGAATAACTATATTCCTCCTGCATCCTATTAGAGGGATTTGTCCCAAGACTTAATTGGCAGTTTCACTACTCCTTTTTTGTTCAGCAATGTTAATGCATTTTTCATTGTCTTTGCTGTGGAGAAGGCACCAGCATAGCAGGGCTGGAAATTAGACTGTAGGTGCATTGCAGATTCCAGGGCTTCATTTTTCACAGAAAGTCAAAACCGCCTTTAAGTGAATAAAGCAGCTGTCCCACCACACTGACAGTAAGCCTGCCATACCTTCGCTTAACTTCTGGCACATAGACAGCGACTTAGATCCCTTCCAAGACAGTTGAAAAATAATGAAAAAGCAACTTTGATGCTACCTGAAACCAAACTATTCAAAGCACATTGCCAGCATTCCTCAGCTGCAGGCACTGAGCCAGGACATGGAGATAATCATTCAGGCTGCCCATGGGGGAGGGAGMAAGGAGCTTAAGGACCCAAGAGCTGAAGCACTTAGAGCAAGAAAATCTAGACAGAATTTAATCTGCAAGGTAGCAATACAGTCATGCTTCTCTCTYATTCCACTCCCATTATGTGCATTAGAGAACTAAAACAGTCACGCATATGGCAGTATTTTTGTTTCTTTTCTGCTTTTTTATCTGTTTCCTAGAAAATGAAGATTTATATAAAGCAAACAGTTCCTCTCTCATCTTGCACTGCTTTTGCAACTGCAGCAAACATCCCCTGTCTCAAGAGGACAAATGGCCTTGCTCCAGCAGTGGAACATTTTACACTGGGGAAAAGTTTCTCCTTATCTTTTCCCAATCAGGAAGCCTGCCCYTTAAGCCTGAGATTTGATAACCATAATTATCTTACTTTTACTTATCTAGCAATATAGGTATGTCAACCCAAGATAAATYAGTTCTTTCAATACTGCAGCATCTGTTCTTTGACTTGATAATCTGCTGCAGCAGCGAAGTTTGCACATTGTAGAAAAAATTCTTGTTAAAAAAAGACCCCTGGGACATGGAGCTCTTTCTCCTTGTGTTATGAGAGCTATCAGAGGAAAAGGGGAAAGCAGCAGCCTCTCTATGTCACTGCAGTACCAAACAGCATCTTTCTGTGACTCAGACACTTGAAACATTCCTGGAAATTTCTTAGTAACTATAACTACGGATTCAACTCCACTAATTACARAAACTTTTGAGTTGTTAACAATAATTACCATACTCTGTTCCAGCTCTATCTATGTAGAGGTCTGCGTGGCAAGAGCAGCAGCAGCCCCTGGCAGGCCTTAATATGCTTCCTAAAGCTTACTGAGAGAGCCAACAGGCTGGAGAAGGGTGTATTTGTGGGTTTAACCCTCAGGATGGAATGTCAGTGGAACCTCTGCTCTGTTTCCTTTTCAAATTCCAGCAAAGATGGCCTTAAAGGTGTATTGTGCACTATATAAATCACAATTCCACAATTGGCAAAGACCTACTCAGGCAGCACATATTCCAGCTTTCAGCTTTTGTTTCAAAAAAAGGGACCAATAAACAATATGCTGTAGGCAGGTACCACTCTTTGCCTTCTCGGGCTCTCCAGGCAAAAGAAGACCTGACATTGGGAAACACTTCTTTGCTGACAGGTGGACAAACACTGAAAGAGGCTTACTGGAGAGGAGGGCAATGTCCCAAACCTGTCAGTGTTTCAGAGGCATTTGGACAATGACCTTCAAAAAGCGAAGCTGTCAGGCATTTGGTCTAGATGATCATTGCAGGTAACTTCCAGTTGAATTTGTGTATTCTAGTCTAAGAAGRAAGTAATTTTGAATTGTCCTCCCCCAAGGCTTAGCAAAGCTGAGCAGTGTCGAATGGTGAGTAGAAAAGGATTTACATTCACAACGTGGAAAGGGGAAAAAACCCCACCCCAAAAAGTGGTTGCAAAGAATGCCTCAGAAACTGCAGCTACAAGACCAAACAATCTTCTCCATGGCAGCACAGGCAGTAATGGGGAATCTTTGTTTTCAAGAGAGGATAGATGTGCAAACAAAAGAGTATAAAAACAGTAGAAAAGAAATAACAGCTCAGTGTGACCTGGTTTCCATGCAGAATATTATAAAGTATTTTAGAACTTAACACATAGTCTATTTATACCCTAAAAGCATAAGACAAATAAAATGCATTAAAGGGACACAAAACCCACATAAAATGAGAATTTTTGAGAGTCTTACCTTTGAGCCAATAAGCGTGTACAGCCATTGGATGGTTTCATTATGATTTATCACTCCATTCATGCCATCGACATAAAGCATTATCTGGCCCAAAGCTATTGCAAAGAAAAGAGAGAAAATATAATCAGAGCTTGTGAACACTTTTTATAATTCTAAGCATTGCTGACAATTTTCTCTAAGCAGGGTTTACCAGAGATGTGGGGAGCTCAACTAATGAAAGATATACTGGGCAAGGTTGTGCTGTATGAAATCCTGGAAACTGCACAAACTTTACTGACTTAATCTGGACAACATAAACGTAACTTTCATCCAGAGACAACCCCAAACACTTGYTCCTTCCAAGAAGGTGCCATGTTTTATGGTCCCAAAATCTGCAAACAGTACTCTACACACTGCTTATGGTCACAATGATTCCATCAGCTACATTGGTTTMTATATTGTGAGCCAAGACTTTTACCATTTGTTTCAGCACCATACAATGTTTGGAATTAGTATATTTGGATTGACAGTTTCAGTGAATTCCAGTGATAAGAAATCAAAGCTGGGCAATTAACACCAATAAGGAYATCAACTATTCACCACTGCACAGTGCTCTCTTGCAAAGAAGTTTTACATTTTAGTGATAAAATACAAAAAAACAAAGATGGTTATAACAAAGGAGCATCTTTATTTATTTAACCTAAAGCATTTACAACAGCTTTTCAAAATATGCTAGTAAAATATTTCATAATTCCATAGTTTGCAATCCTGATAATATGAAACTTTCGAGATACAACAGTTATTAAATCTCTTCTGACTGATAAGGACAGACATTTTTTGTAAGGATTATGAAAAATGAATTAGTACAATTCATCKATCATCTTCAAAAGTTTCCACTGTTAGATCTTCTGCTTTATAGCAAGAGATCAAARCACAGTGGGATGAAAAAGAAATCACTGATGTAACACCTTTTAGCACGGCCTGTTGGCMTAACAACTCAATTATCCAATGCACAGACTGATGAGCCCCTAGTACAYGGCTTTATGGGGGRAAAAAGGAAAAAAAAAAMCCAACCCACAGGGTGAGGAAAATCATGACACTATTAATCTTCCAAACACATTCTGAATGTTTGCTGACTTTTGCACAGGTTGTGCATAGTGTAGCATTTTTACCTTGAGGGCAGATTTTCAAAGACATGGGTGCTAGGCAAGCACTGAAGCACCCCTGCAGCTAGGCACCTGACAGTAATTTTTATACTGTCTCCTCCTTTTTGGTCTACTTGGTCAACTTACAGCTAAAAACCTGAGGTACTAATTTTACATACTTATATTCTGCACCTAATCTGCCMCACCATGCTGGAAGGAAAGGCATACTCAGTGAATGCCTCACAATCCATGAAGACTGAGAAAAAGCAAGCAAGAGAGCTCTGGCACAGAGATTACATGTCTCTTGAGCAGGCACTGCCCTGGGGTGAGCCAGGCACTCTCTGCTCCTTCTGTCCAGGAAACAATCAGTCACCACCCTCCAAAGAGGTGTTTCTCAGGTGAATAAAATCAGGTGGGAGGGACACAGGCCCAAGTGTTATGGTAAAATAAAAGCTGTGAGTCAGCCAGTAAAAAGAGATATGAGTTACACTGCCTGAATAAATGGCTGCTTTGAAGCATTTCATTGCAGGTRGAGGAAATGCTGCTATCCCAGAAGTAATCAGAGAAAGTTCTTAATTCTTGTTTTTACTTCCTTTCAATGCTAAAAAGATTTGGCACTGGATCAGGATGAGATCCAGTTATGATAAGGTCAACAAACCCATTTTTTTTCCCCTWGCAAATTCTTTGGTTGGGGGTAAAGCAATTTAATTTGTATTCAAAACAAATGTGAAACAAATTTTACTTTTGGCACACGCTTTCCAAATTAATATAAAAATCAAAGGCATCAAGAAGTCCGCTTTTAAAAACATGTACACACAATACAAAACTACTCAATTGCTTATACTTAAGATTAATTAGACAGGATGCCTAAGTGAGATCTGCATGCTTTTGTTTCCAGCCTCTTAGATGTGACTCTTCACAATAGCAATATGTTAAGGCAAATTAGTAGACTTTAGAAAGAAGCCAAAAAACATTTTAGGGATTCTTGAAAATACAAGAAAAAATCCACTACTATTGAATTTGTGGCCAGTTAGTTTCACAGGGCAAGGAATTAGAAATGACACCATGAMATGACCAAGATGAGAAAACAGGTATGTGTCCACATCCAAGTCACATCTCAGTAGTTACCTGCCACACATTAAGTTCTCAGCTAATGTCAAGACCTTGGTGTGGATATTGCTATTTCCTGCCTTCAGGGGTCAAAAAAWTCAAAGACTAGATGGATAGGGCTGAGGAGAAATCTGTTTTCATTAATAGGGAGGGTAAGATAAGGAGGATCTGTATACTTTGTACAAAGCTGATGCCTCATAAATTGTTAGGGAAAGAAGGCCACAAGAAGACCAAAAAGAAGGAGAATGCTGGTTTTCATCCACATCAAGTGTCTGTGCTGAGGTAGAACAGGTAATTCCTTCACCATAACCACACCACATGACCAAAATGGAAGATACCACCAAAAACACCAGTGTAGGAGCAGACTGGTGGAGGTCCTTGGGCCCTTCAGGGCTTGGGTCTGGCTGACTAAGACACAGCAGTTTGTCTCTAAATGGAGACTGAGAGAGGCCAYTGACATTCTTTAAAGCTTTTAAACCCAACTGCTACCTTACCTGGCAGCCCATKATCATACTCTGCTGAAATGATTGTGGCTGAAGCTCAAGCTCCACGCACCCAGAGTGCCCACACAGCCACCACCAACACACAGGGCCTCGCCAGGGGAGGGCAGCCTCATCTGCAGGGCAGTTCACAACGCCAATCTARCCCAAGATAATTTAAATTCACATTTGCAAGTGCCTTTAACCAAACTCTTTCTTTTTTTTTCCTTCTTTATCAAAAAATGAGGAGGCTATTTAATCCATTTAATCCCATCCCTCAGCTAACTGGAATTCSTTTTGGAAGTGTATCAACAACCTACTTGCATTAGGAAAGTTTACTATTGTGCAACAAGGGGCTCAGAGAGGGGGGGTTTAAATACAAAGCAGACCTAATTTGGAATTTCTTTGTTCCCACTGCCCTTGTCAAACTCTTAATCTTATGTGAAAGTAGTGTGTGACTTTACCCATAGCTATTTTTAAGTGGAAAATTGCTGGACTTCTTAGGAAAGGTTTAGGCTAGAAAAGGACAGATCAGCCAAAAAGTTCTGAGACTTCTGTGAAATAAGAGGTTTAAGAAAGCCTCTAAAAATTTGCCAGTATTGGCTCTGATACTCTCTTGGGATATAAAGCAAACAGGACCAAAGAGGAGAAGCTCTAGCACAAAATATCATCACAATGAACATCACTTGAAGTCAAGGTCTGTCTTTCCCACCCAGACTGGAAAAAGTTTCAAAGCAGTTCCTTGCCCACACACACACCTGCTTCTCTAGTCTGCTCTGCTTCCATTTCACTACAAAACTGACTTAGAGAAAGCAGCATCCCTGAATGAGCAGAAAAACTATTTTCTATGCCTTACTCAGCATTTCAAGAATTACAGCAGGGAGGCATCTTGTGATTGTATTTGTTTCCATGAGAATAAGAAAATGCAYAGGATGAAGCAGGCCAAAGGCAAACCTTGTCACTGCAGGTTTCAGCTCCCAAAGAAGCTTCTGGCCCAAGTTCATCAGGCAGTTCATACCCAAGCTGTGGCGCTGTGTACGACTACAGGCAGCCATGCACAACAGACAGAACGGTCATGGGTGAGAACCAGGCGCTGAAATTCACCTTTTCATTGCTAAAGCTCAAGCTAAAATCTTATCATCRTCAATGAGTAATCGAGGGACTGCATGAGCTGAATTAAGGCAGCTGATCCTTAATGGAGTCTACACGGCCTGTAACACTCAATAATGTTCTTCCAACATATGTAAGAAGTTAGATATTCTTCTCAAGAATTGAGATTTTTTTGAGTTTTAAAGGATTTTCTGAGGAGACTTCTTCACTGGCCCTCAGAACTTAAATTCTGAGGGAGCAGGACATGATGATGAGATTGGTGGATTTTTTTGTGAAGGTGAGCTATAAAAGCATGACGCCAGTGAAGGACATTGCCCATGGAAATACTGATGATTATCTCCAATGGACTTACCTCAGCTCTCAGTATGAAATCTTGCACTAAGTATTGGTGCTGCAGTCAATGAGAAGTGGTTTGGTTTCAGGGCAGAAATTACAATCTGTTTCAGGATTAGGGGGCTCTTGTCATCTTTAGATGTGTTTTAAACTTTTTATACTGGATTTATCATGCTAAGAGGCTGCCTAGTCCAACTCCTTGCTCAAAATAGGGAAATCCAGAGCAGATTGTTCATGACTCTGTCCAGCTGGGCACTGAATATAGCTCCAGGTAGCTGCACAACCTCTTGGGGCAGCCTGTGCCATGACAGTGCTCAGACACCCTCGCAGGATTGTTAATTTGTTTTTTTAAGTTCTAATCAAATTTCCTGTATTTCAGCTAGCATCCATGGCAGCCCTCTTGTCCTTCTATTGTGCACCTCTGAAGTCTGGCTCCCCTTTTACTCTCCCAGTCATATGTTCAGTCCCTTTAATAATATTTAAATATATTTAAACTGAAGATTAATACATAGTCAAGAAACAAAAACTACACACTAAGCTAGAACTCCCCCCCGCCCAAAAAAAAAAAAAAAAAAAAAGAAAAAAAGAACTTCAGTTTAGGATTAAACTGGGGAAATTCAGTGACCTCCCAAGTTAAGAAGTGATACCTTAGCCCTTCTGTTTGGGAGCTGATTGAGTAATTTAGTCTGGCAATGTGCTAGATGTGATGGATTTCAAGGCCTTTCCCCCTCCATTAATCATCATGAACATAAGCCTTCTGTCTGTGTAAACAATACTAATCCTGACTTTGAAGGTACAAAGAGGGAAACAAAAACCAACCTTTRCAGAATGGAAAGATAATTTCTGCAGCTCCCTTTCTTGAGCTCCTCAGACACCTATTTACCCTGCACAAAGAAAGGTCCTGCAGGTGCAGGCTGCCTTTTATCAATCATTATCAAT